GGATGGCAGGTAGAGTCAAGTGGGATGGCAGGTAGAGTCAAGTGGGATGGCAGGTAGAGTCAGGTGGGATGGCAGGTAGAGTCAGGTTGGATGGCAGGTAGAGCCAGGTGGGATGGCAGGTAGAGTCATAACATAAGAACATAAGAAAATAAGGAGTCTGCAATAGGCCGGTTGGCCTGTGCATGGCAGCTCCTGTCGAGAGTTACAACCACTCTCTATCGTCCATGAATCTATTTAGCCTCCTTTTGAAACTTTCCAGCGTTCCAGCACTTACTACAAGTTGCTAAGCTTGTTCCACTCGTCCACCACCCTATTTGTGAACCAGTTCCTTCCTATCTCCCTCCTAAACCTAAACTTATCCAACTTAAATCCGTTGCTACGAGTCCTATCCTGCTCGGATAGTATAAGAACTTTATCTATATCACCTTTATTGATTCCTTTCACCTACTTAAATACTTCTATCATATCTCCCCGCACTCTTCGTCTTTCTAGGGCAGTGGTTCTCAACCTTGTTTGCCCCATGCACCCCTTTCACCATATGTCAGAATGTCATTCCCCCCTCCTTTCCAAGATTGTCTGCCTCAAAAAGTGCATTCCAAATAATATGCATATAATACTGAAAATCCTTTATTTTTTCCATATTAGTATCAGTTCCCCCCCCCCCTGAAAACCTGAGGGGGGAAATTCCCCCCTGGTTGAGAACCCCTGTTCTAGGGAATGCAAGTTTAGTTTCTTTAACCTGTCTTGATATGGAAGGTTTCTAAGTCCCGGAATCATTCTTCGCTGCACCGACTCCAGTGAATTGATATCCATTCTATAATAAGGGCACAAGAACTGAACCGCATAATGGAGGTGCGGCCTGACTAGCGCAAGATATAGTTGGAATAAGACCTCTGCACTCTTATTACTTACACTTTTAGATATAAAACCCAATACTCTGTTTGCCTTATTTCGAACATTAACGCACTGTTTTCTAGGCCGTAGGTCCGGGCTTACAAGTACCCCTAAGTGTCTTTCACAAGTTGACCTCTCTAGGTTGATGTTGTTAAGGCTGTATACATTGACAGTATTTGTTCTTCCAATATTAAGTACGCTGCACTTGCTGGTGTTGAATTTCATTTGCCATTTTTCTGACCACTCCTGCAGTTTATTTAAATCCTCCTGTAGTGCATTTGCATCCTGCCCCGAATTAATATGCCGCCCTATTTTGGTGTCATCCGCAAACTTGCTTATGTCACTGCTGATCCCAGTATCTAGATCGTTTATGTAGGTTATGAACAAGAGTGGGCCCAGTACTGACCCATGGGGAACCCCACTGGTTACACAGCCCCACTCAGATTTAACACCATCTACTCTGACCCTCTGTGTTCTATCGGTGAGCCATGATTTTATCCAATTTAAAACTTTCCCATCGATGCCATGAGCCTTAACTTTTCTCAGAAGCCTCTGATGTGGCACTCTGTCAAACGCTTTGCTAAAGTCTAAGTAAATAACATCGTAATTCTCGTCATTATCTACTACCTCGAAGACTTTCCTAAAAAACGTCAGCAGATTTGTTAAACAAGATTTTCCCTTTGTAAACCCATGTTGAGAGTCGTAGATTAATTTGCTTTTCTCTAAATGTGATCGGATGCTATTTGCTATAATTGATTCAAGAATTTTCCCCACTACTGACGTCAAACTAATCGGCCGGTAATTTGACGCTGATGCTCTGTCTCCCTTTTTGAATATGGGTACTACATTTGCCTGTTTCCACAAGTCTGGCACAACTCCCAACTCCCGTGTCTAATGATTTTGTAAATAAATTTACGAGGGGTCCACTAAACTGTTCCTTACACTCATTCTTATTTGACCTCATTTTTTTGTATGGTATATTTTGTTCTTGTGCTTTGTGTAGTATGCGAGTGAATATATTATAGTCATGATCAATTGTTGTGTCATCTGTGACCTCACCAGTTCCTACTGGGGACTGGCCTGACTGTTCCCAGGTGACCTCACCTAGGTACCTTCTTAAACCCTTATAATATGCTGATCGAAAGTCTGGGACTCTGACCATATTGTCATTGTTTTTGTTTTTTGTTTAGAGTGAACCTGATTTCGCTGTGATCACTGTTACCTAGTTCTTCCCCTACTGTGATATCTCTGATAATATTTTCTTTATTTGTTAATACTAGGTCTAATATATTGTCACCTCTAGGAGGTTCTGTAATTAGTTGTTTCAAAAAATTGTCCTGTACGGCATCTAGGAAGTCTTCAGATTCATAGTCACCTACAATGTTGTCCCAGTCAATATTTCTGAAGTTGAAATCCCCCATAATGCACAGGTTGTTATATTTTGCTGCCCTACTCATTTCCTGCCATATAGGCTGAGCTGCTTCTTTCACAAGACTTGGGGGCCTGTAAATCACTCCCATAATTAGTTTTTCTCTTCCTTCCGCAATTTCTACCCCTACAGACTCGATTCCAATTTCACCCTTTATTGAATTATTAATACAACATTTTAATGTATCCCTGACGAAGAGTGCGACCCCTCCCCCTTCCTACCTTCCCTGTCCTTGTGAAAAAGGTTGTACCCTTCTATGTGGTACTCTGATAAAAAGTTCTTGCTCGCCAGATTCATCCAAGTTTCGGTGATTGCTATGACGTCTACATTCTCGGTACATACAACTGCTCTCAGCAAGTCGATTTTATTTCTAACTCTCCTACTGTTTGTATAGTATACATTTAAACCTACCCTTCCCCGGTCCTGTTTTACCCCTTGTCCTGAGTAACTAATTTTACTCCCCAGGACCTTCTTGTTTTTGACTCCCACTTACCCCGACCTCTCTCTACTGGCGAAACCCCCCCTTTGGAGTGACAATTTCACTCTCCAGGGATGCAGACAACGTCTTTACCCCCTCGCGAGACACGTGTACTCCGTCACGACTGTACAGGTAGTCGTTGCCATGGAATGGTTGCCAGTTATCAATGAATGCCCAACCATTGCTTGCACAATGTTTTTCCAGTCGGCAATTTATAGCAATTGCCCTGGACAGCCATTCACGACCAACTCCCCTTCTATGCAAGACACCACATACTATCGGGATCCCTCCCCTATCTCTAACCTTCCCCAGCGCCTCCCTATACCTCTTGAAAAGTTCCTCACTCCTAACTTTTCCTATGTCGTTACCTCCCACACTAAGACACACTACTGACTTGGTACCCTCCCCTGACAAAACCCTGTCTATCCTCTGAGCTACATGCCCTATCCCAGCCCCAGGAAAACACACCCTAGTCCTACGTTTCCTATCTCTTGCACAAAAAGTCCTATCTAAGAACCTCACCTGGCTGTCACCAACTACCACGACCTTACCACTGGGCAGGGTCTGAACTACTGCCCTTTTCTCTCCTGGCACCACATCGTCCTGCCTCTTCTCTTCCTCGTCCTGCCCCTTCTCCTCCTCGCCAGCTTCCTCCAACACTTGGTAGGGGTTACTGCACTCCACACCTTGGTCAGCTTTCCTGAGTCTGACCCTAGTCCTCTTGGAAGCAGCCACTCTTCACGCCTGTTCCTCCTTCGCAGGTGTCCTGCCAGGCAGGACACCTACCTGAAGGAGTTCAGTCCTGAGGGCTTCGTTCTCCCCCTTTAACACGTCCATCTCTCTCCTCAACTGCCCCAGCTGACTTAACAAAGTAGCCAGGTTCTTTACACACCGTCCCTCTTCCCCCACAACACAATGATCCACGGCGGCCATTTCCTCTGGTCACTAACACGAGCACTTAGAGGCACGTCCTTCTCCAAGCCAGGTCAGGTAGGAACTGTCAGGTGGGGGGACGTAAGTAAACACTGTATATATTTAAATAGCACTTTATTACATTAGAAGTGGTCACAACAACTGCATATCGAGAAAATTTGAGGAGTTGTCCAGCCACTGTACACTCCATTACACTCCAGTACACTCCACTATACTTCAGTACACTTCAGTATACTCCACTACACTTCAATACACTCCATTACACTCCATTACACTCCACTACACTTCAATACACTCCACTACACTCCACTACACTTCAATACACTCCACTACACTCCAGTACACTCCACTACACTCCACTACACTCCAGTACACTTCAATACACTCCAGTACACATCAGCACATTTTAATACACCACTGCACTCCACCTTATCCAAATACACTCCGGCGACACTCTTAATCTCCAACACACTCCAGTACACTCCATTACCCTTCCTAATATTTCAGTACACTCCACAACACTCCAGTACATTTCACTACACCCCAGCGCACTTTAGTACACTCTAACTCGGTTCAGTGTACTCCAGTATTTTCCATTACAACCCGGTTACACTCCAGTACACAAGGGATAGATCTTTACTATACTCCAGTACACTCCAGTACACTCCTAATACACCCTAGCATACTCCGACACAACGCTTCACTCTAACACACCACCACACTCTAACTCACATCGAGACTCTCCGCTAAACTTTTGCACACTCCACCACACCCCGATACACATTCCACCACACTTCACCACATTTATGCACACGCCACCGCACTCCGACATATTTTTCAACACACTCCACCACACATTTACACACTTCACCATACTCTGCCACACTTCAACACACTCTACCACACTCCACCACATTTCAACATACTTGACACTCAACCACACTCCAAAACACTCCACCATACTCCAACACACTCCAGGTATAACTCTTCACACCTAACAGTGGCTCCGTACCGTGGGAAAATATTGGTGTGGGACAAACTCTTCGTCACTGGTTATCAAAAAGTGAGTCAGGCGCTATGTACAGTACACGAGATATGTTAAGGCGATATGTCCTTCTGGAAGCTTGGTGGGCCCGGGGTCACCTCTGGCGGGTCAAAGGTCACGTCGGCTACAGCGGGTCAGCCGGGGGAGGGGGGGGGCAAGAAGGTGGGTGAGGAGGTCAGCTAGGGATAACTTAGGTCAGGAGAGTAATGGGGGGGTGGCAGCTACAGGAGGTCAGCTGGGGACTGGTGGCCGGGGTGGGTAAGGAGGGCACGGCTGAGGACGGCCTCCATGCTGCGGTTGCGGCCTCGTAGAAGCCAGGCCGCCCCCGCCACCGCCCAAACCGCACACGCGGCTGCGAGGGCGGTGAGCGGCAAGTGTAGCAGCAGCAAGATGTTGGCGAGGATGGCTAGCAGAGGCAGGAGTGGGGCGGCGTCCTGCTGGGTGGGGGAGGGCGGTGGGTGGCGGGGCTGTAACCACAGTCCCACCCCGCACACTAGACACCCACATACGCACAGTGCCACGCCCGCCCACGCCCACATGCCTATGTCCAGCTCCTTGGCACCCCTCACCACGCCCACACCTGCCACACAGTTTACTATATAGGTCCCCATCAGGAACCTTGCCGTCCTCCAGGACGCCCAGGTGGGTGGCATGGGCGGCTCAAAGATGGCAGAGACCCAGGTGCCGGCCGCCCATTCCACAGTCACCTGGCGAGGTTCAGCATCGTCAAAATTGCTGAGGTAGTCGTGGTGGGCGGCGGGCGCGAGTTCCGTCAAGTCTGCCAGACTACTGGCGCTGTGGGAGAGGGCGGGCGGCGTCTCACACTGCGTCACCTCTAGTGGGTGGCGAGAGTTCTCGGGGCGGTACCTGCGGGCGAGCACCGCCGCCGCCCCCACCACGCCCGCACTCACGCTCCCCGCACCCGCAGCCCGTAGCAAGAGCCAAGATGATGAGACTGCGGCAGTGAAAGAAGCTGCGGCGCCGCAGAGGAGGGCAGCCACCCAGGGCGTGCCGGTGTGGTTGGACACACGACTCAGGCAGCGGGGCGCCAGACCATCACACGCCAGACGGTGCGTGAGGCGTGACCCTGCCAGCAGCCCCCCGATGATCCCCGCCCACAGCCCCACCACAGCCCCCACGCCCACCAGGGCGCGCATGCCAACCAATGACAAGCCGGGGAAGAGGTGAGTGAGGGGCGCCGTAGAGGGGAGGGAGGAGGAAGCCAGAGTGGCACCCACGGCACACGGGAACAGCACCAGCAGGGCCGTCACACCCACGCCCACGCCCACACACGTCACAACACGGGAATAACGGTTACACTCTCCTGCCAACAGCCCGGCGTGGTGGGCGCCGCCCACACTAACACTCAGCACGGCCGCCCCGCCCACAACCTGCAGGAGAGAAAGTTATTTTAATTAAGGTGTTTTACCTGGGGGGATGAGGCACCAGCACGAGTGTCAGTCTCACACAATACAACTTACAGTGGTAAGAGAACCTGTGTCTCACACTGCTCACCTCACCTCACCTTAATTAACTCATTCATAACACCTGAGGAAATTCCAAACTCACAAAAACCATGTGAGGGCAAATTTTAATTATGTACAACACCAAAGAAAACTCCGAGAAAAATTAAACATTTGCTGAAGAAAACGGTGCAAATATTTCAAACACTTACACAATGTTTAACAATTTTGTAGATAAAAATAAAACTTTGTGTAACTAAAGCTAAGTGCGTCTTCACCTCCTTCAGACAGTCTCAAAAGGTGGACAGGTGAGAAACAACTTAAACAAGAGGGTTAACACTTTCTTTAACCCCTCGTTATTTAATTAAGTTTAATCTATATCTTCATCACACCTGTGCCATTATTAACAAATTAACCTCACATTAAGTTGCCGTGTTCGGTCATCAGGTCTCCCCGATACTTGCCCACCTGTTGAGCCTCGGTGTTATGTGGGTCATTAATTGTCGGGGCAAACTTTTCATCCCTGAACACCTGAGATGTACACGAACAGGACAGCACGTGTACAGTACAACCATCAAGGTGTACTGTCTATCACTGTACATAGATCTTGCATGGTTAAGCTATTCGATGTTTTATATGACACCTTAAGAAATACAGCTTCGCCACAACAGCTAATTGCCCTCACCCCAAAAAATATAATCAGGATTTTATGGGTTAAAATCCGACCTGAAAAAAAGTATATATCCTTCTTGGGTATATATCTAAATCCATAACGAATTTTTATAACCAAAGACTTAAACAGCTATTAGAAATGAGTCATAACTTATCCCGTAAAGGTTATGAGTTGTAATGAGTGTCTGGTGAGGTGTAATTATCAGGAAATTAGGTCAATATTGTAGCCACATTAAGTAAAGCTTAGGTAATGATCACGTTAACACCTGGATGATGAACGGTGGGCCAGGTAACACGCGATAATTGCATGATGAGGTGACGGTGGGCCAGGTAACATGCGATAACAGGATAACAAGATCATAATGAACTGATAACAGGATGATAACAAGGTAACAAGATGATAAACAGGTAGGGTAAGATAACAAAAAAGTGGGGCTATACTACAAATAGATGGGTCATGATAACACTAAGGTGGGCTAAGATAACACACAGGAAACTTAAGATAACACACAGGTGGACTAAGATAACACAAAAACAAGACATTAGTGGAGCAGGCGACTCACCCCGTGTAGGCCGTAGGGGAAGAAGCCTGGCGAGTGTGTCCAGTGTTGGGCGTCAGCGTGGAGGAGGGCGGTGAAGGCCACGGCTATCAGCACCAGCAGCGACACGCCCACACCCGCCGCGCCTACCTGACACACCAGCTAAGGGAGAGACGGTGGTGTTAGTGGTGATGGTGGTGGTGTTAGTGGTGTTAGTGGTGGTGATGATGGTGGTGGGTTAATGTTTTGGTGTTTGATGCTGATGCTACTCTCTCTCTCTCTCTCTCTCTCTCTCTCTCTCTCTCTCTCTCTCTCTCTCTCTCTCTCTCTCTCTCTCTCTCTCTCTCTCTCTCTCAACCCTACCCTACCCTGTGTTTACCTTAGTGCCAGCAACGACCATGAGAGTAGAAAAGATGAGGAGTGCCGCTGCCAACAGGTCAGGATGAGGGGCCAAGTAGCGGCACTCATGTAGGATTGGTAGCCTCGTCTGGACCACGTCACTCATCCATTGGTCCGTGGCCCCTCCTACGTACTCGCTGCTTCCTCGTGCCGCTGTTGGGGGGGGGAGAGTTGTGGGTTAGTTAGGGTGAGGAGGAGGGGTGAAGGAGGAAGAGGGGTCGGGAGGGAGGAGGGGTGAGTCAGGGTGAAGAAAGAGGAGGAGGAGAAATGAGTCATTTTGTTACTGCTCATATGTCAACCAATTGTATATTTTTGTTTATTGTTTATCTATCCGGACCTGTAACTAGATGTACCAGGACCTGAAAGTGAATTTACCAGGACCTGAAAGTGAATCTACCAGGTCCTTTAGCTCAATCTACCAGGACCTGAAAGTGAATCTATCAGGACTTTTAACTCAATCTACCAGGACCTTTAACTCAATCTACCAGGACCTGAAAGTGAATCTACCAGGACCTGAAAGTGAATCTACCAGGACCTTAATCAATCTACCAGGACCCGAAAGTGAATCTACCAGACCTGAAAGAATCTACCAGGACCTTAACACAATCTACCAGGACCTGAAAGTGAATCTACCAGGGCCTGAAAGTGAATCTACCAGGACCTTTCACTCAATCTACCAGGACCTGAAAGTGAATCTACCAGGACCTGAAAGTGAATCTACCAGGACCTGAAAGTGAATCTACAAGGACCTGAAAGTGAATCTACCAGGACCTTTAACACAATCTACCAGGACCTGAAAGTGAATCCATTAGGACCTGAAAGTGAATCTACCAGGACCTGAAAGTGAATCTACCAGGACCTGAAAGTGAATCTACAAGGACCTGAAAGTGAATCTACCAGGACCTTTAACTCAATCTACCAGGACCTGAAAGTGAATCCATTAGGACCTGAAAGTGAATCTACCAGGACCTGAAAGTGAATCTACCAGGACCTTTAACTGGGAGGGCTGTACAGTACCAGACCAGGACCTGTACACGACTTACCAAGACCTATAACTCGATAAACCTACCACGACCTGCAGATAAGACAGACATGCACACCAAGGGGGCTTCTACAGGTCGACCTACCGATGGCGGGGATGAGAATGAGGTCGAGGAGAAGGGTGGAGGCGACAAGGACGGCGGGCAGCTCCCCCAGGGTGGCATACACGTGGGTGAAGACGCCTCCCCCTCGAGGCATACGCACCCCCAGCTCAGCACACACCGCTCCTGTAGGGGATAAACTGCGTATCAGGCGTATATATATATATGAATGACTTATGAGACACCCTGTACATCACTACCCTTTATAGATCCGATAATCTTGTTGTGTCGTTATTGTTGTTTTTGTTGTTTGTAACCGTTTGTGTATATATTTTTATTTTACTTTCGCTACTGATGGAAGTCCCCTTAAAGATATCATGAGTAAGTTTTTTTTTTTTTTTAATATAGTGACACCTTTTACCATAGTGTCACCTTTTAGCATAGTGTCACCTTTTTTATAGTGTCACCTTTTAATATAGTGTCACCTTTTAATATAGTGTCACCTTTTAACATAATGTCACCTTTTAATTTAGTGTCACCTTTTAATATAGTATCATCTTTTAACATAGTGTCACCTTTTTATAGTGTCACCTTTTAATATAGTGTCACCTTTTAACATAGTGTCACCTTTTAACATAGTGTCACCTTTTAACATAGTGTCACCTTTTAACATAGTATCACCTTTTAACATAGTGTCACCTTTTAACATAGTGTCACCTTTTAACATAGTGTCACCTTTTAACATAGTGTCACCTTTTCACACAATGTCAGCCTTTACTCACTAACATAACGTAATAATGAGACTCTTTTAATATTATAAGTACAGTAATTAAGATGATTATTACCTCCATCATAAAACATTAATAACAGGAACACCTCCAACAATAATTACTTCATCTGAGTTAAAAATTGTATATAATCTAACGCCATTAGGGTGATTAACTGCAACCTGTCTTTATTAAATATCCGCTGTAAAAACTGACGTAAATATGTTTGGGTGTTTATCATAATGTATCGTATCCTAAGAGAACCGTCGCAGATTATTTCGTTCGCATTAGTTTATTTTAATGTTGAGTGTTTGTGGACAGATGGTGATGTTAAATTATGGTTTAATTAAATTCTCCAGGTGTATTAATGTTCTTGTTGTTGTTAAAATTTTAGGTACAGGTTTATTGTCATTACGTTATCTCTCGGTAAGAACTTATACTCCAATTTAATGGTAGTTTTGTTCACTAGATGGCAGGACATTACGGTCTCTCTCTCTCTCTCTCTCTCTCTCTATTGGTAGCAGATAACACTAAAACGTCCTTCCAATTCATCAACAGTAATTCAGAGTCGGTTCAGTGTGGAGAGAGAGAGAGAGAGAGAGAGAGAGAGAGAGAGAGAGAGAGAGAGGATTGGCGAGACAACAAACATGACATCCCTCCTCCGTGTGTGTGTGTGTGTGTGTGTGTAGTGTTGACATGTTATATAGGAAGGTACACAAGGGGCGTCGAGGTCAATAATATCTGTTGTTTTGACATGTATAGTGTGTGGAGGGGGGAGGAGAGCGTAATGCCTCTCTGATTACATATATACTGGACGGGAAAGTGAGCGTGGTGAACCTCAGGTGTGTTAGGAGGTGGGGAGGGGAGGGGGAAGGGGAAGGTTTAATATAAGGTGGGTCTCCATATCCTGTAAGGGGGGAGGAGGGACAGGAGTAAGGTCACGGGTATTTGCATAGTCTAATAAACCTACAGAGAGATGGTCTAATCCATTCCGTATCCCCCCCTACCCTTCTCTCCCCTCCCCAGAAGACTGTTACGTTCCCCCTCCAACCCCCTCCCCCGTCCCCTTCCCAGTGAGATAGTCTAGCCCCCCCTCACCCCTCCCCAGAAGATGCTCCAGCCCCCCCTCCTCCCTCATCCCTACCTGCATTTCCATATTGTGTGTAAGTCTGGCGCCATGTTAGCTGAGGACCGCATCTAAACTTCGCCTCAGGAATATAATATCACCTCAGTGTACAGTGTTGTTGGGGGGGGGAGGGTTAAATGAGAGCCATCACGAGTTTTGTTTACAGTCACCAGCTGGCAGGGGAGTGTAGGGCTTGTGGGTAATATTGGGTCATTTGTTTTAAGAGTAGAGGTGATATATGTTGTACTGGATTAGTTCATTACCTGAAGATTATTAGGTGTCATAGCTTATTTCACCTGATGATTAGACACCTTAATGCTTACCTAACCAAAATCTAACCTAATGTGACCCAACCCAACCTAATCTAACCTAATGTGACCTAACCCAACCTAATCTAACCTAATGTGACCCAACCCAACCTAATCTAACCTAATGTGACCTAACCCAACCTAATCTAACCTAATGTGACCCAACCCAACCTAATCTAACCTGACCTAACCCAACCTAATTAATAATGTGACCCAACCCAACCTAACCCAACCCAACCTAATCTAACCTAATGACCCAACCCAACCTAACCCAACCCAACGTAATCTAACATAATGTGACCCAACCTAATCTAACCTAATATGACCCAACCCAACCTAATCTAACCTAATATGACCCAACCCAAACCCAACCCAACGTAATCAACATAATGACCCAACCTAATCTAACCTAATATGACCCAACCCAACCTAATCCAACCCACGACCAACCCAACCTAATCTAACCTAATATGACCCAACCCAACCTAACCCAACCTAACCCAACCTAATCTAACCTAATATGACCCAACCCAACCTAACCCAACCCAACCTAATCTAACCTAATGTGACCTAACCTAATCTAACCTAATATGACCCAACCCAACCTAACCCAACCCAACCTAACCTAATCTAACCTAACCCCTCCAGATAGCGTTAACGTATTTAATCATCAGGTAAAATAAGCTAGGGTATCTAATCCACATGTGCTCCAACTTACCTGACCAAAACAAAAATAACCTCACCAATTAAATACATTTTTAATAAATCACCCACGAAAATTAATTGCCTCGATTGATTATTTTTATTTATTTATTTTATTTATTTATTTATTTTTTTTTTTTTTTTGTAAAACATGAAAGTGGAAAAATTCATTACAGAAACGATGGAAAAATAAGAAAAACAAAAGATTCTTAGTTGCGTTAATAAAAAAAAATAGTTAATTGTCGCGAGTATTGTTTCTGATATAATTCTATACAACACTCAAACAGGCAACGGGGAACATTATTGTTTTCAAGCAACAGACATCACTATTTTCAAGCAACAAGCATCACTATCTTAAGCAAACAACGACTATATTGTCTACTCCCCTTCTCAATATTGTTTACATCACATACAAACAACATCTATTATCTTCCTCCTTTGTTTATCTGGTGACGTCATAACCCAGCGCTTGTGTTTACGTTACCAAAATATGGATATTATACTTATACAGTTCACAGGTCGCCACACACACACACACACACACACACACACACACACACACACACACACACACACACACACATTATAAGACTGTAGGAGAAAATAAAACACAAAACGAGAGCATTATATATTTCGACTGTAACCTGATGTATGGCCTTGCTGTGTGGCCTTGGTATGTGGCCATGGTGTGTGGTCCTGCTGTGTGGCCTCGCTGTATGACCCTAGTGTGTGGCCTTGATGTGTGGCCCTGGTGTGTGGCCCTAGTGTGTGTGGCCCGAGTGTGTGGCCCTGCTGTCCAGAGGTCGTAGAAGAAACATTTACGACCTTTGTACACCTAGGACGGCAGTTTATAAATGCTTTATAGAGCTCAGGTGTCTCACACTATCTGGTGGGGGTAATGTCGTGTGAGTGAGAGGGAGGGAGAGGGAAGTGAGAGGGAGAGGGAAGTGAGAGGGAGAGGGAAAGATATTGACAGTGAGAGGGAGAGGGAAGTGAGAGGGAGAGGGAAAGATATTGACAGTGAGAGGGAGAGGGAAAGATATTGAAAGTGAGAGGGAGAGGGAAAGATATTGACAGAAAGTAAGAGGGAAGGAGAGCAGAGTGAGAGGGAGCATGGAAGGGAAATATATTGACAGGGAAATGAGAAGAAAGTAAGAAGGAAGGAGAGGAGGGTGAGAGGGAGGTAGGAACGAAGAGTGGAAGACAGGGATGGAGTGGAAAGGAGTGAGAGAGTGATGGAGGAGGGAAAGAAGAAGAGAAGACGAAGAGAGACAGAGAGGAAATAAAGAGAAGACGAAAACGATGCATGGAAGAGAAGAAACAATAGACTGGGGGGGAAAGAGGAAAAGAAAAGGAGTAAAGAAGATAGATGAAAGGAAGGAGAGGATATCTGAAACCTGGTTGAGAATGAGAGAGAGAGAGAGAGAGAGAGTAATCCCCCTAATGGAAACAGCAGAAGGAAGAACATTATGAAATATGTTGATAAATCATAACCCGCGAGCATTTTCCTTCAGTCCCCCCGTACTATATCCCTCCTTCCTCTCTCCCTCTCCTCCTCCTTTCTTCTCTCCCTCCACTTCTTATCTCCGTCTTTCTCTCTTTCTCTCCCTCTTTCCACTCTCTTTCTCTCTCTCTCTCTCTCTCTCTCTCTCTGTGACTAGTGTGACTAGTAACAATGTTAGTAAGCAAATAGACAAACTAAAGCCTAATAAGTCACCTGGTCCCGATGAGATATTTGCCAGAGTATTAAAGGAATGTAAGGAAGGGCTTAGTATGCCCTTAGCAAAGTTGTTTAACATGTCCTTAAAAACAGGTGTAGTACCAGAATCCTGGAGGATAGCGAATGTAATACCGATCTTCAAGAAGGGGGATAGATCACTATCCTCTAACTACCGTCCAATCAATCTAACATCAATTGTAGGCAAATTACTGGAAGCAATAATTTCAAACTCTATTCGACATCACCTGGAGAAGCACAAGTTGATCAATGATTCCCAACATGGCTTCACAAGCGGGAGTTCATGTCTAACTAATCTATTAACATTCTATTCAGCTGTTTTCGAATCAGTGGACAAGAGGCACGACTATGATGTGGTATATCTTGACTTTAGTAAAGCCTTCGACAGTGTCCCACACGAAAGACTAATAAGAAAAGTGGAGACTCATGGCCTTAAAGGAGATATTCTAAAATGGATTAGGGCGTGGTTACAGGACAGGAAACAGCGAGTGAGCATTAACGGCACTAAATCCGACTGGAGTAACGTTACTAGTGGAGTTACTGGAGTACCCCAAGGCTCAGTACTTGGACCATTTTTATTTATTATATACATAAACGACATAGATATCGGCGTAGATAGCAACATAAGTAAATTTTGCTGATGACACTAAAATAGGGCGTGTAATTAAATCTGACGAGGACTTTGCAAATTTACAGGAAGATCTAATGAAATTTTTCGAATGGTCTGAAAAATGGCAAAAGAAATTAAATGTGGACAAATGTAAAGTACTTTGTATAAGAGATGTAAAGAGGGAAACAAGATATCAGATGAACAACGATGTTATCGAGAAATCCGACTGTGAGAAATATTTAGGAGTAATGATAAAATGGAATCTTAAGCCAAGTAAACAATGTGTATTTGCTCGATTCTTAGGCTAATACAATACTTGGGTTCATACAAAGCAAAGTTAGTTTCAAGACTAGCGAGGTCATCCTAAAACTATATCTTGCTCTTGTGAGACCTCACTTGGATTACGCAGTTCAGTTCTGGTCACTATTACAGAATGGATATAGAATCCTTGGAAAGAATTCAGAGGAGAATGACAAGACTAATCCCGGGCATTA